ATCCGTCCCACGCCCAAAAGAAGTTCACGTACCAAGTTTCGTTAAGATATCTCAATTTTTACTCGAGTTATCGTGTGCACAGACGGACGGACGGACGCCCCGGCTTATCATGTAGCGGTAGCTTTCGGAAAGGTGGAAAACATATATTTAATACTTGCGCCGGGTATTTAATGTTCGGCTCCGCCCGAACTTAGACTTTCTTACTTGTTTAATCTTAAGTTGTTTCTTCTCTGTACCACCGTGATCACGTTTTTCTGCTATATTAAGAAATATAAATATATTTTAACTTAACACTTTATTAAAAAATACCTTTAAATCCTCTTTTCTCTCTTTCTCCTCTTCTTCGCAAAAACAATCGATAAAAGTAGGATGGACACCGAAAAGTTATCGGTTAAATCTGAGATGATTTTTTAATTAGAGATTAACAAGGGAGGAATTTTATATGGCTAATCTCTTTTTCTAATTACAGATTAGAAAGTTAAGCTCGAAAATGAGGATAATCTACTTATATGTGAACCTAGTATTATCATAAGAGATTATGTAAGCCTTTTTTTATATAACCTTTATATATATAAGACTTAGTCATAGAGGTATATCTCAGAGACAGAGAACAAGCCTAATGAACTGATAACATCAACACAGCGAAATCAAGTGTGGAATAAGGAATGTTTCATACAACTGACTTTCCTTGCAGATTTCAGGCATTAAATTATAAACCTTATGATCATATAAAATAAGCTTTATATAAGGCACAAATTTATTTGAGGGTATTGCCGTTATCTTCATCAGCAGCTACTTGTATAATCATTTTTACTATCGACATTATGCACACGACGAGTACATACATACATATGTACACATGCTTGTACATATGTATGGACATGTATGCATAGAAAATTTCCGCAAATGTGCTTTATTGGCGCGTTGACACTTTTAGCTTTTCAGTTTTAATGTGGTTGCGTAGCAAAAGTTGGTTTATTTATATATTTTTGAATGTAAGGTGTGTTTTTGACAAATTTTTAATTAACTCCCATTATAAAATCATCATTTCATTAAAGTACATAAGAGCGCACCTCTTTTGAGGAGCTAAATTAAGTTTAAGAATTTTCCACCTGTTTGGGACAATGTACTACGAATCCCATGAAGTATTACACATGTATTAAGCGGCTAGGAAAATATTTAGTGTCTTATATTTGGTTATGTTCGAATTGATTTTTCACTTAAATAAATGCCCTAAACTAAGCGGAAATTCGTGTCTTAAAATTTCCGAACATATTCGTTTAAAGCCGGATCGGAACAAATTTTATAAATGGACTAATGCGTATCGATTTATGTTCTGAATATTAAACCTTGATGTAATATATCGATTAACAAAGTTGAATTTGTTTTCTAAAACAGGTAGCAACCCTCCCCACAAATATATTACAGAGCAGACTCACTTTAACTTCTTTGGTTTTACGCTTGTTATGCTAAGGTTTCAATTGACATCTCACAAAATTTAACTCGAACTTCTAAACAGGTGGCGACCCTTGTTGAAAATACTTTCGAGATAAAGCTACTCTCCACTCTCGGTTGATATGGTTGGTTGGTTGCAGTGCTTCCTAGTCGCTGCCTAGGATACAATTAGCGCATTATTGCGCCATTTTGATGCACTTCTCGCGGGGGATAAATATCTTGTCTATGCACTTCCTACGTTGCTAGGTCGAACCATTTCGACTCTCTAATGAATCTGCCGATTTCGCTAATGGTAGCTCCTGACAGGTCGGTTAGTTCTGCTACTAGATGTTTCCCTAACGTCTTGTGTCTAATGTTCGAAAGGCCTGGACATTCACACAGGAAATGCTGGACACTTTCTTCGCTATCTTCTAGTTGACAGCTGCGGCAAATCATATTATGGGGTAGACCTATTTTGCCGCATGTTTGCCTATGGGCCAGTGGCCCGTGATGGTTGCTAAAATTCTAAATACCTCTGGCCTTGATCTGCTTAGCAGGTTCAAGGTTTTCGCCCTGTTATAGTCAGGCCACAGTTTTCTCGCTATCTTGCAAGTCTGTATATCTGACCACCTGCGTCTAGCCAGTTCAAGGAAATGCGTAGTAATCTCTCTTTGGACTACTCCAAGAGGGCAACCCAATGCCACTGCCTGGGATTCATCCAAACCGGCTCCTGCCTTCGCCAACTCATCCGCCTTCTCATTGCCTTCTATGTTCCTATGTCCGGGAACCCAGACAAGAGAGACGGTATTTGACTGAGACACTGAGCGCAATATTACTTTCCATCCCCCAACTAGCTTGGATTTGGTAACCGCTGACGCTATTGCCAATAGCGCCGCCTGGCTGTCAGAGTATATTGTTGCTTTACCGCTGTGTCCAACTCTATTGCCTAGGATTTTGCAGGCTTCTAGGATCCCTAGGACTTCCGCTTGGAAGATGCTTGTATTATTTCCCAACCGTAGAGACAGAGCCACGCCGAGTTCCTTGGAGTAGACACCTGCTCCCACACTGCAATCCATCTTGGATCCATCGGTGTATAGAGAGATCTTCTCTCGGTCGGCCACTCGGCCTCTTCTCCAGTCCCTTCTGGATGGGAATAGCACTTGCACGTTACAGCTGAAGTCCAAATTGCCTACGATATAATCTGTCGTCCTATTTAATTGCATTTGATTTATGATCAACCCATGTCCGAAGTGTCTAGTCCTCCAAAGGCCCGACTCTCTGAGTCTGACCGCCGATTTCATAGCCACTTCTTTCAGGTGGAGATCAATAGGAATTAAATTGAGGATGGCGTTTAAAGCTTCTGCCGGGCAGGATCTTAGTGCGCCTGTTACTCCTGCGCTTGCTGCCCTTTGTATGCTTCTTAGCTTGCTGACATTATATTGTCTGCTTAGGCCGGGCCACCAAACCAAGGCGCCGTATGTTAGAATTGGTCTTATGATCGCGGTATACATCCACATCACAAGTTTAGGATTTAGTCCCCAGTTTCTACTGAAGATTCTCTTGCAAGTGTAGTATGCTATGTAGGCCTTCTGTCTACGGAATTCGACATTGGTTTTCCAGTTAAGTTTGTTATCCAGCACGACTCCAAGATACTTTGCGCTGGGGGTCAATGAGAGCGCCTTGCCGTCTAGCGATGGTAGCTTGAATTGTGGTAGTTTGTGTCTGTTTGTAAATAGGATAAGTTCTGTCTTGGCTGGGTTCACATTTAGGCCGCTTCTCGTAGCCCAGGCGTGTAGCCTTCCCAGGGTTCCTTCAAGGATTTCGCTAACGGTAGAGAGGAATGGACCTGTGGCTGCTATTACAACATCATCCGCATACGCCACAACTTTGACTCCCCCTCTATTGAGTTCTAGCAATATACCGTTCAGGGCTATCACCCATAGCAGTGGTGAGAGCACTCCGCCCTGTGGAGTGCCCCTGTTCACATGATGTGTAATAGAGTTAGCCCCATTTGTTGCCTGAATGATTCTATTGACTAGCATCGATCGTATCCATCTACAAACACTGTCGTCAACACCAATATCTATCAAAGAGTCTATGATGGTGTCAACCTCAATGTTATTAAATGCGCCCTCGATGTCAAGAAATGCCGCCAGAGTATATTGTTTAAAGTGCAACGATCTTTCTATTAAGCTCACCACTTCATGTAAAGCAGATTCAGTGGATCTGCCTTTGATGTATGCATGTTGTGCTGTTGAGAGTGTCGCTTCACCTAACAGCGATCTTATATAAATGTCGAGAAGCCTTTCCATTGTTTTAAGCACAAAGGAGGTAAGGCTTAGGGGTCTAAAATCTTTTGCTGTTTCGTGGTTTTTCCTTCCTGGCTTGGGTATGAACACGACTTTTACCCTTCTCCAGCTTTTAGGAATGTAGCACAAGGTAATGGTAGCCTTAAAAATAGTCTCAAGTAACGGTGCTATCTCTTCCTTCACCCTCTGGAGCATTGCTGGGATTACGCCATCTGGTCCAGGGGATTTGAAGGGAGAGAAGCTGTTAATAGCGTAAATAATCTTTTCCCTGCTCACGATCGAGTTCAACAGTATACTGCTAGTTGAACCAGGTTCAATTGACCCTGATGTGGGTGGATGTCGAATACATCCCGGGAAATGGAACTTGACTAACGTGTTTAGAGAATCACTAGCTGTGTTCGTCCACACCCCGTTTTCTCCTTTAATGAGTGTGATATTTGTGTGTTCTTTTGATAGGATTTTGCTGAGCCTGGCTGAGTCTTTAGAGTTCTCTATAGAAGAGCAGTAAGATTGCCAGGATTTAGTTTTAGATTTTCTCAACTCCTTTTTATAAGATCTGAGGGCGCTTTTATAAGGCGCCCAGTTTTTAGTTCTAAAGCAATCATTGTAGATTTTCCTTATTTTGTCTCTTTGGGCTCTGAGATCCCCATTCCACCAGGGTGGGGATTTCTTTCTTGCTGTACTAACTGGAGTTGATCTTTCAAAGGCTTTCTTCATAACCTCTTCTAGTTTATTTACTCTATTATCAAGGTCCTCAACTGTAGTGACAGTTGTATTTAGTGGGAGCTTACTTAGTTTATGCTTAATTGTGTTACTATATCTTTCCCAATTAGTCCTGTGGGGGTTTCTGTATTTTGAGGGGGTGCTGGAAATTCCGTGCAGATTAAAGAGGATCAGACGGTGATCAGACATTGAAGGCCTATCAGATACTCTCCACTCTTCTACAGACACGCTGTCGTTCTCTGACAACAGGGTTAGATCCAGCACCTCCTCCCATCCAGGAAACCGGTTTGAACTCGGGAATATGAATGTGGGTGTATTACCTCTATTGCAGATGCTTAAGTTAGTATTTAATAAGAAGTGTAGTAAAGACTCACCTCGGTCGTTCTCCGTAGAACTACCCCAAACTGGATGCCTTGCATTCGCATCGCAGCCGACGACTATAATTTGTCTGGGGTTTTTGGCTATTATCTCCTGGATTTCGGTTGGCGGACTGTCCCTATCGTGGGCCATGTATGATGAGACCAGGAGTATACTTGGCTGTCCGGTGGTCTCCACCTTAACCATTGTTGTATCTGATGTGCTGAAATTAGAGCAAAGGAATGCATTTATACCGTTCTTGATAAGAATACACGCCCGCGGTTTACCCACCTCGCTCTTATAGTAGAGTTTATAATTATTTATGTTTAGTCCCACGACTGTATCGTGCTTGACCCAGGGCTCTTGAATTAGGCTAATGTCTATATCCTCCTCACTAAGAAGGACAACTAGATTATCTGTAGCACATTTGGAGCGCTGAAGATTTATTTGGACTACTTTAAGTTTCCGGTTCAGGGTCATCTGTCAACTTCACACCCATGAGAAGCTCACCACCTCCATCAACCCCGGGATCTTCTTCTATCGGGCTAACCTATCCGAGGAATACCCGCACTCTAGCCTTACGGATACCGAAGCAGAGCCGATAGTCAGCCTTCTCTAAGGCGTCCAGTGATTCTGCGCAAATAGCTAGCAGAATGGGCTTATTTGTAGGCCTTCTTGGCTCTTCAACCTTTATAAGCTCCCATTCCTCGATCGCCGGTATGTCTTTATTATGTAGCTTAAGACACCGCAGCAACTTTTCGCCTGGTTCATCCATCGGAGGCAGCCAAATGCGAGCACGTGGTCTCCTTGGAATGTCCTTAGCTGGAATCAGCTTGAGCTTCAAGTTGATATAGAAGTATTTCATTTTAAGTTGATTTTGAATTTCAAAAAAAGGTGGTCACTCCTAAACTTTTCTTTTTCGGAATGTATATTAAAAAATCTAATTGAACTTGTTTGGTTTTTGCCTTTATTTGAAGTTTTTTTATAGGTCGCAACCTGCGTCAAAAATATTTTCGATATAAACTCTCTCCTATGGCAGCCGCATACAAATTTTTCATGCAACTTGTGAGTGGAATTGATTTTTAAATTCTAAACAGATGGTAACCCTCTTAAAAATAAAACCTGCCAAACCCTCTCGCTTTGATTCCATTTTTAAATATTTGATTTAACATGTTAATTACAGTGAATAAAACTTTTCGAATAGGTGACATTTGCCTTGAAAATTATTTTCAAAATCAATGCCTTATAACCCTATTGGTTTGACACTCTTATTGTTGTAATTTTTTATTTAACATATTAATTAAAAAAATATCTCTATCCAGGTTATAACCATAATATATATATATTTGCTGTGCTAAAAAGAAAAAAAAAACACGCACACATCAAAGATATAAAGTTGTAAAAATTTCAAAGATTTAAGTGACAAATGTAGAATTTTTACTCCCCTATGCTCGGAGGTGCTATTTTTAAATAACTTTTTGAAAAGATTTTACTTCTAAGTACATTTGTATGTAGTATATATATGCATGTGGGTAAGAAACAAGCAACAGCAAGGTAAAAGTAAAATTTAAAGCAAAGATATGCAAAATATGTGAGCTGGGAGACGAGATCGGAATATGAAAGTTGAAGCAGTAAAAAGTAAAAGTAGTTAAAAAACGTATTCGTGGGAAGCGCAACCACGTTAAATACTAAAACGTGTTGCCAATTTGTAGAAGAGTGCGTAGACGACGCTCGCAGATGATTTGCATAGCTAGCTTTGATCCCTGTATGCAAAAGCAAGAAGTGCAAATAGAAGAAATAAAAAAAAGTAAGAAGAAACAAGTAATTTTTAGCCAATAAAAAAAACCGACTTCAACTCTCATAAAAAAATATATATATATATCTCATGATCCACTGACTGACTGGGACCACCTCTGAGACAATACCTTTCCGATGCAAAAAGAATTATCGAAATCGGTTGACGTGGTCCAAAGTTATGCTGTAACATACATAAATAAGAAAAATAAAAAATAAATAAAAAAAAAATATTCCGACTAACTGATAACCTCCTCCTTTTCTGGAAGTCGGTTAAAAATTAAAGTTCATCGATTTCTCAGCATTTATCACCCAACTCATTACATATGCAAGCCACATTAGCACTGACAGTCACAATATTTGCTGTGAGTTTAAAACAGTAGTACACGCATAGACTTAACTTTGTATCCTTTGAGCACAGCAAACCTGGCAGCCAAGCAGCGTGTTATCTACCCTTTTAACAGCCTCCATAAACTGATTAGCGTTTGTTAAGAGCAGCGCTTATTATATTTTATGCCGCTTTAAAGTGTGCACACTGTTAAACCGTTGCACAGTGGTTGCATTTATATGGGGAGAGCGGTCAAAAATACTTTTAATGGACATATCGGGAAAAAAATTTTACCCTAAGGTCTGTTAAGAGTAAATACTTGTATGTTGGACACGCCCACATACAGTTATGTGAAAAATAATAGGGACACGACATTGTGACCAGTTTCGGCTATTTTTGTTTTTTTTTTTTTTGTTCGTTTAATGTTTAATGTTTTATAAAAATACAACTCACTATCTAACAAAAACCACATAAGTCCAAATTTCAAACTTTATAAAAAAAATGTAAAATCAACAAAATTTTAAAGCAACACAAACCTGTTTAATAAGAACTCTTAGAAAAAATCAGGTGTGCAGTTTTAAAGCCCATTAAATTCTAGCTTAAGAAATTGGAAGCTTGAAGTGGCTAAAAATTTGCGTTGATTGTTGATAATTTTTTGTTTGGCGGATGGTGTTACTATTTGCTTCCATAAAAAAAAAAATTGTCAAACATACTTTGAATGGAAGAAAATGCGTGACACCGTCAGATAAAAAATTATCAAAAATCAAAGCGATTTCTTAGCCACTTAAAACTTGCACTATCTTGAGCTAGTATTCAGTGGGCTATAAAACTGCATACATAACTTTTTTCTTAAAGTACTTATTTAAAAACTTTGGTGTTGTTTTAAACTTTTGTTGAGTTTTTCTACTTTTTTTACAAAGTTTGAAATTTGTTTTTTGTTAGATAGTGAGTTGTATTTTTATAAACAAAAAATAAACAGTAAACAAAGAAAAAAATAGCCGAAACTGGTCACAATGTCGTGTCCCTATTATTTTTCACATGACTGTATGTGGGCGTGTCCAACCCCGCCCACTTTTACATATTACAGTTTTAGCGTTTAAAAGACCTTAGGGTAAAAAATTTTATCCCGATATGTTCGCCGACGCTTAGTCTTTTTGAAGACTCAACAAAATCTATTTTCGGGCGCCACGATTTGAATTGGTGGAAACTGTTGGTTGACATTTTAATGAAATGATTCCTTTCATTTCGAGCCAATTATAATGACTTTTCAACAGTGCTGATTTTTGGCGTTTGGGTCTTTGCCAAAACAATGCAAATTTTTTACAAACGTAATTAATACATTTTTGCAACTCATACCGATCTGGCTCAAAACCCTCATATTATAATATCTTTCCCTATTACACCCAGGAAATGTTGAACTTATTGGGAATGCGTACCGAAATTTTCACGCCAAATCTCAAAAACATGCAATCGACAAAATTCGCAGTGTTAACTTGTGCCTAGAAACATTTTGAATTTGAAAATTAGATACATAAATCAAGAAATAAACATGAAAAAAAACTGTAGAAAATAAAGATTAGGTTATGGAATACTACGCGAACATCTGCAGGTCAATGCATCTACACTGAACACTTTTATAATCTTAAAATATTAACAAACAATATGTAAATAAAAATATTGAGGGCCGATAGGGGAAACACACTTAAAACATTACCTAAATACTTGAAAGACGAACCAAGAAACACACAAAATCCCACTTTTCTAAAACAACGATTTCCATAGAACACAACACGAGTTATCTAAAAGTTTAATTGTACAAATAAAGTCAATACCTTTATGTACAATATCTATTGCATACAATTTTAACTCACTCGGCTTTTCACAATATTTTAATTACGTTAATTCCAATTCAATTTTCAGCTTGCTGATGCTGTACAAATAAAATGAACGATTGATAACACTTTTGTTGCTTTTTTCAGAAACAACCGTTATAATTAAAACAAAACATATATGTCAACATGAAGTTTGGAAAAAAACTGATTGCATAGCCTATTTTGGTTCAAAAATTTTTACATACTTTTTTTTAATTTTGGCCAATGGCAGCAACCACTGTGCGTTGGCTGCTTATTTGCTGTCTCTATCAAGTCAAGTGTGGGGTAGCTTCATCGAACTGAGTTGCTGTCAACGCAGCGACGTGTTTCGGTTTCCACTTTAGCAACACACTTTCGTCTAATACCCTAGTTTGTCATTCTATGTCGCTCATGGCATGAATATTGACGCGCGACGCTCATAAAAATTCATCACCCGAAGTGAGGTTCAAATGAATATGGATTAGCGCTTCACTCGCTAGTTGCTGTTTTAAATTTTGGGTGGTTGGTAACCACAATGAATAATCACATTTCTGGTACGTTAATTTTTACTCCTTTTTCATGCATTTTTTCTCATAGCTGGCTTCTAATTTTATATTTAGCAGCTTTCTGGTGCATACGTGGACTTAAGGGGCACGATCTTCATTTGTATCCCTATAACTATGCATTAAATACCTTATATGGCACAACTATACATATTTTTCCTTGCACTTTTCTCGACTTCGATATATGTATGTATGTATACATATATACACATTATTTGACTGCAATTGGTTAAACTATAGATTTTTTTCACTATATAATTTTGTACAAATTTTGAAATTTTTATTTATGTATATAATTTTTTACAGTGAGAACTATATCTTAAATTTTTTTATTACTTTAAAAAATTCTTACTAACTAAAAAAAGTCGTGGTAAGGCCACAAGTGTGTGTATATATGTATGCTCTTTTTGTTTCAAAATCTGAAGACATTATTTAAAGTACAGTGGTATCTGGCTGGAGTGAACACCCGATGCTACGAACACCTCGAATGAGTGAACATGAAAATTTTTCCGTTGAGTGCTCTATAGAGTGAACAATTTTGAGTCTTTATAGAGTGAACAAAATTTAAACCCAATTCCTTCCAAATTCAAAACTGTAACGAAAAATTTAATAACAAAAAGGATAATCCCTTCGCCAGGCCGATCCCGTAAATCCCCGTATAAGGGGTTCTCAACTCGGAGATTCGGCAACTAGTAAAGTGGGAAGACCATCTGAAGACCTGTAACTTCGCCTCTGGTGTGGGCAAGCTTTGGTCAACCGTGAGGTCATTGTCCAATCTGACGAAGC